GACTAGGTGTACCGCAATTTCCTCGACTTTCGAGTTATTCACCCTCCTCCTAGTGCTGAGATTCAACGATTCAGTGGTGTTTGTTCAAAATTGATGAATTCACTAGGCTGGAAGAATGGATTAGTGACCAACCAACCGGTTCTCCAATTTACCAAGATTATAGAAGGTGTGGAATTTTAAGCTATCGCCAAATCTCTGCCACATTCCTAAATTACAGTAGTGTACCCATGGCATGCAAACCGATGTCTACTCGAACAAACCAATTGGAAAGGCGTAAAAGCGTTGCATAAACGCGCGGCACATAACAAACGCAGAGTAACAACGCAAACAAGTCCTAAAACAACCGGCATACGACCAGCGGTTCGGATCGCGGTGCCAAAAAGTAACAAACTTGACGCTTTTGGGTTTTCAGACTGAGGAAGTCTTAAAATACATCCTTCTCTCCTAGTTTGCACAATTTAAAACGACAGAATGTCAAGCCGCATAACTTTCAAAGCATGCCATAAACGACTATACAAGGTTTTCTAATGGCAGGGAATGTCCGTTTATTACTTACACTATCTTTCTGGAAGTTGGTAAGTAAATAGGCAGTTGAATACTGGGCAACAGCTTGAACCGGCAACAAGTGCTCTACAAGGAAGGAAGGAAGGGAAAAAGGAGCAGAGAATAAAGGGGAGAAGGCCGTAAGATTTACAAAATCATAGGTCACTGCAGAGTAGCTGAAAGTATTTAAATGCTGCATAAAAGCCGAGTCAATTCACGGCTGGGGACGGGAGCCAAAGTAAAATGCACTCAAAACATGCTGGTGGTGGTTTTGGTATCAAAAAAATAGAATAGAGCGAAGCACGCGGATGTCAGGCGATTTCAGCGGTGGCGGTGGTATGTACAGGGTTAAAGGGAGAGGTCAGATCGCTAATAGAAGAGTGGGAGAACTAGGCGGAGGGTTGGGAGATGTGAGGAAGGCGAGAGAGCACCCCAGTGGAGGGAAGGTTCACCCCATTGGCAAGGGAACAGGTGCGTCGATGATAATAGAAGGAGGCACCCCATCTGTAACGCTTACCACAGAGCTTACAGACATACTTGCCTTCCGCTCTATGCTTTCCATCGACGTGTTGTTTGAGGGAGAGCTTTGAGGTGAAGTCTTTTGCGCAGATATTACACAAGAAGCGTTTGGTACGGGACTTAGGCATTGATATCAGGTCAGCTGACTCATTGGATTCAGTAGGGAGAGGCACAAGGGGACCGAAAGTATGGATTAATTGAAGGCACTTTGCAGCATGCTTGAAGTAGAACTGTACATCGGAGAAGGTGGCGCCACAGGGACAAGTGAAATCAGAGTGTGCGGTGGGTTTTACCACGGTCTCTTCTTTTGGCGCAATTTGTGCTGACTTGGCAGGATGGGATAGGTCCAGCACAGCGTTATCATTGACAGGGATGGAGGTGGAACTAGAATTTGCTGTTGACTTGTCTGGCTCAGCATCGGACCGCAACATCTTCTTGCATGTGCGCATATGATGATAATAAACCGGGGGCCAACGGTAGACTTTAAAGCACCACCGGCATTTATACCTTGGTGGATAATGTAAATGCATGTGCTGTTCCAGAAGAGATTTACTTTTGAATCCTTTGGGACATTTTGGACAACCAAATGGTCGATCATCAGAAGGTCCCTTGATCGGAATTACAGGAGGATGCTTATAGTAGCCGTAATGTGATATCGAGTCTTGGAGACTGGTCTCAGGACTGGTGCTTTCAGTGTTTTCCGGGTTCACCACATTGGGAGAGTCTGATCTCTTGAATATTTCGTCACTAACTTTGGTTGGCGTTAGTGGAGAGGACTGCTTTGAGTGGTTTTGATCTTGCGTATCCACTGAAGCTAACGGACATGCGATGTAGTGCCGTAAAAAGGCCGGTAATCGGCAAAATGTCAGCCCACAGTTGCAGGAGAAGCCTGCTTCGACTGAATGATTCGATTCAAAGTGTTCAAAGAGTTTCGACATATCCTCGGCGGCATATCGGCATTCAGGGCAGATAGTTTTAGAGGCTGCCTTGGATCTAAGAAAAGCTTCGTTATAAAATAAGCAAAATTACTCTGGCTCTGACTGACAATTTATGTAGTGTTCAAGAAGTGTTTGCATAAACGTATTGTCCTCACAGTCAAGTTGAGCATACTTTTGTTTGCATACATAAAATTTATCGATTGTATCCTTATGTAGAATAAGTGAGGCCTAAAGAGTTATATAAAAAAACACAATTTTACTGTGTTGAATGAGTCGATTGCCATTTCATCCATAGCACGTCTTGATTACAGCAATGTTCTAAGTATACGCCAATTCATACAAACACAAAAATGCGTAGCTAACTTGAAAACAAGTCCACTTCATTAAAGATAAGCACAATGACCTTGATTACTTAAAGCAAAAACGGATGAGAATCAAAATTTTGTTTCTCTTGCATACTTAGTAAAAGGTTTTGCTAAAAATTTTTAGTGCTAATAAAAGTGACGATAGGCTCTCAAGAATCACAGTTGACGAACAAGTTTAAGTCATGTTTATCATAATCTCTGCATAGAAAGCAACCTTCATAGCGCTATTAAAGCACAAATATCTGAAGATAAAGCATATACTACAGTTCACAACGAATTTGTATTGCACATAAGTGCTCACTAGTGATAGGTTTCACTTCATTTTCTTACTTTATTAACAAGCGTTCGGGCCCAAATTTTACCTACATTCATTCAAAAATGCAAGGTTAACACAAATTAAATTACGTGCAACTACAATACTGATTTCAGCATTGCTTTTTGTGTGTTGAGCTAAATACATTGTTTAATTTAATGACACGCTGAGCGTTTTGTCAAATAGCTA